TTTGCAAAATTTTTTTCTCACTCTTTAATTTTTCTTTTTAACTTTGATTGTGTCCTTTGAAACACAAATGTTTGTTTTTTTAAAGATTATTTATTCATTTGTTTAATTCCATTTGTTATTATTGTTTTTAATTTGATGAGAGAGAGAGAGAGAAAGGGAAAGCAAGAAAGCAAGCTGCCAGGTCCAGGACTTGAACCACGGTTGGTCATGTGGAAGTCCAGCGCCTTTAACCACCATGCCACCTGCCAGCCGCAAAACACAAATGTTTTAAATTTTAATGTCTAATTTATCACTTTTCTTTTATTGTTTGTTCTTTTAGTGCCATATCTAAGAGCCATTGTTTTATCTAGAGTTACTAAGATTTACCCCTATGTTTTCTTCCAAGAGTGTTGTAATTCAACTCTTAAATTTAGGTCTTTGGTCCATTTTGAGTTAATTTATTTTTTGGAGAGTTTTTTTTTTTTTTTTTGTCTGCTATAGGGCGTGTGCTCACCAGAAAGACAGAGAGAGACAGAGAGACAGAGAGACAGAAAGTGAGAAATCACTTCCCGGGGGTATGGCCATGCCACAATCCCTTCTCCTCCATTCTCCTCTTGGGATCATGGGCATGCACACATACAGAACCGGCGTGATTTAAGCCACTGGGTCCAGGACTCGAACCGCGGTTGACTACATGGGAGTCCAGTGACATAGCCATTACGCCAATTGCTGGTCCCCATTTCGAGTTAATTTTTATACAGGGTGTAAGGTAGGGATCTAGTTGATTCTTTTGCATGTGAATATCCAGTTATCCTAGCATTATTTGTTGGAAAAACTGTTCTTTCCCAGTTGAATAGTCTTGCCCTTATCAAAAATCAATTGATCATAAATTTGAGAGCATATTTCTGAGCTCTGAATCTATTCTATAGATCTATATAGCTATCCTTATGCTAATATGCACTTTTTTTCCTCTTCTCTTCAACCTCAGATCCATGTATTCGATTGCCTACTTGCTAACTCCACCTAGGTGTTCAAGAGGCAGCTTAAAATTAATGTGCAAAATGTAACCTCTAATCTTAATGAAATAATTTGTGGGGGAAAAAGGAAGAAGAAAAATAAGCTAACGTTTGCCAAATATTAGTACCATGCACCATCTCATTTACAGCACATTTAAGTTCTGTGACACTCTGAGGACATTGCATATTTACCCACACTAGAGAGTGGTCAGGCAGAATCTTGAACCTAGGTCAGTTTGATTCCAACCTGAGCTCCTTCCTTTACAGATATAATATATGTTCCTGCAAATGAGGAAGTATATAGTTCTACTTTTGTCTCTTTGAGATTGTCCTTTGGAGTTGTGTGATGACTCAGGGAAAAAAGGATTCCTGGTAAATGGAATAGGATTGCCTGTGAGGTGTGCTATGCTCCAGAGCTACCTCTTCCCTCTTCCACATAGAGTAGATACCTAGAGGTTTCCTGAGTGTGCGGTCAGGTTTCCCTATCACCAGGGAAACCCTGCCTTGAGTTTTTGCCAGTGTCTCTTGGTCGTTTTCCAGGTTAGAGGTTCTCTGGCCTTGAAATACACTTTCCACCGTCAGAACATCTTGCGTTCATTTGCTTAGCTGGATTCTCCATCCTTATTCCTCATTCTTTCTTGTCTCTTTCCTCTTTGTTCAAGAGTTGTCAGCCTTTCCAGGTTTATGTAAGATAACCCACTCTGGGCCCAGCCATATTGGCACACACTGCCAAGACACCATGCTCCATAGCATCTGGGACTACATGGAAGGCTCAAGTTAGGTTCTCAGTCCAACCTAAAAGGTGGGCATGGTTGTATGTGTCCAATCCCAGCAACTCAGGAAGGCAGAGTCAGGAGGATCTTAAGCTCCAAAATGGAATGGGCCACATTGAGACTTAATTTGTGGGAACTGGGTATGGTAGTGTGTGTAGTGGTCCCAGCTGCTCAGGAAGTTGAGGCAGGAGGATCACAACACAGAAAGCACTGTCTTAAAACACCACACACACACACACACACACACACACACACACACACACACACACAAATAAATAAAATAGAGTTTCTACTCTGACAATTGCTAACTTAGTTCCTAACACTGAAAATTTGTTCAGCATCTTGGACCCTTCAGTCTCAACAGTTTCCTTATTAAAATATTGGTTACCCTCCCTCCCCCCAAATTACTGGATAGAAATGAAAATGTCTAAGATGAGCCTATTTATGTCAGGGATGCATTTTTACAATAAATTTTGACTAGACTAAAAAACAAAAAGCAGCCTATTTTCAGTTAGTATTTCTAAAACCATTGGCTCCTCATGATATATATTCCATAGGCAGCTAAGAAAAGAGAGATGACACTGGTGAACTTTTTAAACCATCTACTTACAGTTAGAGGCAGAACCAGCTCTGTTCCTGATTGTATTGGTTTATTCTGACATTTTTGGTGTATAGGGTCTACTGTCCACTGCAGGGTGAGATACCAACCCCCAGGTTTTGCCTTTTGGTATCCAAAGGTCTCGCCCTTGCTAGAAGTTTCCTCATTAGTACCTTATTCCACATGCTGAACATTTTCTGACCACCTCTCTCTATTAGAGTTAACCTATATCCTGTCTTTTCCTATTCTAAGTGTCAACTAAACATGAGGCACTGTGGTACAGTATACCCAGAGTAAGGAGAACTGGATTTAAGACTTGGCACCTGTGGTTTTGGGTTTCTGTCCAACTCTCTGAGTTTCATGGGCCAGAAAATCTCTAAGGGCATTTATAGTGCTAGCCGCCTCAGGCTTTATGATTCTGTTTCTCTTATAAGTGTAGCTGGACTAATTTCTTAGTAGTTGACAATGATTTGATGTGCTAAGCCAGAGATGGCAAATATGTGCCTTCAATTTGTCAACCATGGAAGATTCATTAATTTGTCTCAGCATTCTCATAGGAACCCAGACGTGACCTCAGACTTCTCAAACCAATGTAATGTGCTAAGTAACACTACCAGTGGATCACAGCCGAAATGTGTTTGTCCTTCTTGTCTGCCCTATCGTTTAGTGCTATAATCTGAAGGAGGGACTAGCAGTGATCAGGATATACCATAGAAATTAAGAGCATGGGCTCTGGGATTAAGTTGCTTACATTCAAATCCTGTTTCCATTGCTTCCTTTCTAAAAGTCACACAGCTTTCTTAGCTTCTCTAGGCCTCACTTCCTCATTTGTAATATAGAGCATAACAGATCTACCTAATGGGATTGTACAGAGGGTTAAATGAAATAATATATGTAAAAAAGTGCTTTGAACGGCATGGCACATATAACTCAATAAATGTTAACTGTTATATTAATAATTGGCAGGATAAGAATTTGGAATAGCTCATGAAGGAAACATTCTTGGATTGATAGGGCTTTGCAGCATCCTGTCAGTCTCCCAAGTAGTCAAGTATCTGTTCTGCCTATGAGTATGGGTTGATCCATTTCATTAAAACATTTATTTCAGAAAAATTGAGTGCTACCTGTACAGTCAGGAGTTTAGGTTACAGCAGTAAATAAGACAAGTCTCTTTCTGAGTTTATAGTGTGGGGAAAGGGAGGGGACAAGTAAAAATTTAGTTTCAATATATATGTATTTAAAACTTTATTTCTTCTATGGCTGGGGAGAAGCACCCTGAACAGAGTCTTCATCCTGTGATCCACTCTCAGCCCCAGCCAGAATTATGGGCACACTCAAATGTACTTGGTGTGTACAGGCAGACCTCAGGATGCAAACTGGGACTTTCCCATGTGGTTTTTTGTAGAGTGTTGCATTACCTCTGTGCCATTATGGCTGGCCACAATATTCTTTTTCTTTTTTAAAAATTGCTGAAAGGCAGAAAGAGAGGGAAAGTGGGAAAGCACACCCCCCCTGGGGGGTGGGGGGGATGGCCATGTGGCAATCCCTTCTCCTCTATTTTCCTCTCTGGACTTTGGGTATGCCTGCACATATGCCTGGCATGTTTTTCAAGCTGCTGGATCTGGGACCCTGAACAGAGTCTTCATCCTGTGATCCACTCTCAGCCCCAGCCAGAATTATGGGCACACTCAAATGTACTTGGTGTGTACAGGCAGACCTCAGGATGCAAACTGGGACTTTCCCATGTGGTTTTTTGTAGAGTGTTGCATTACCTCTGTGCCATTATGGCTGGCCACAATATTCTTTTTCTTTTTTAAAAATTGCTGAAAGGCAGAAAGAGAGGGAAAGTGGGAAAGCACACCCCCCCTGGGGGGTGGGGGGGATGGCCATGTGGCAATCCCTTCTCCTCTATTTTCCTCTCTGGACTTTGGGTATGCCTGCACATATGCCTGGCATGTTTTTCAAGCTGCTGGATCTGGGACTCAAACCATGCAATTGGTCATGTGGGATCCTGCTCCCTTAACCACCATGTCACAAGCTGGCCCACTACACTATTCTTAACAATTGCAGTGATTGGAGTTTACTCAGGTTCTTTAGGGAGCACTATGTGGGCAGTCAAAGTATTCTTGGTGGGAGAGAAATTCCTGAGTTCACAAGATCTGGTTTGCCTCTTCCCACTGTTGGATATACATTGGATTCCTTGGGGGAATTGTTAGTAATTGATGTCGCTGGTAGCAAACCTCAGTAGCATGCCTATTTCTTGGCATTCATTTAGTCACTTAAATGACTGATAGCTCCAAGTTTTTGCCATTGCTCCTTGCACTCTTCCCCTTATCTCAGTCAGAGCTGATGAAATCGGGAATCTGAGAAGTGAAGACAAGTGAAGCAGCCCTAAACTTATAGCCGCAGAGTAGCTAGATCTCTCTGTGTACCATAGGAAAGTTTAAATGTTAAGTTTGTCAAGGACTTAGATGAGTCCATCTTCCTGCCTAACCCAAGATAAAGGAAGTATCTGTGGAAGCCTTGTATGGTAATGGTATGACATCTGGGTAAGAGAACAAAAGAATATCCTTATGTGATGAGAGTAGGTATCTGTGCCATGACCCATCATGTCCCCTCACTGGTGTCTTACAGTAAGCAACTGTTGTGTGACGTGATGATTGTGGCGGAAGATGTCGAAATAGAAGCTCATCGTGTGGTCCTGGCAGCCTGCAGCCCCTACTTCTGTGCAATGTTCACAGGTATGATGAGGAGCCACCAACAACCCACAGTTATGGGGCTAAGCCCCCTGGGAGGATATCGAGGGTGGTGGTGGCATTATGGGAGGGCAGAAAGAGAAGGCTGTGGAACCCATTATGAGGAGCTTCTCTATGCCAGACACTGTGCTGGACACTGTGGAGAACTTGATGGAGCCAAGATCTCAGCATGGCCAGGTGGGCATGTAGCCCCTCATCTGTCATAAAAAAGGGAGAGTCATACAACACATCAGTTCTGAACCTTCAGCATGCGTCACAATCATATGAGGGAGCTTGTCAATAATATGGACTCTTGGGCTTGTTGACAGGCCTCTCTCATTTGCAGATATGGGACACTGAAGCTGAGAGAAGGGAATAGACATGCCCAAGAACACACAGTGATTGAGCTAATACTCTGCTAGCTGGCCCACATCTTGTCTTCCCCTAGCCTTTCCTTCCAGGCAGGGTCTCTGGGCTAACTCTAACTTTTACAGGAGCACAGAAGGGATTTGGAGATGTGATGGTTGGATTTGGTGAGGATGAGACATAAAAATAACCACCATTTGGCATTCAGTTTCAGTTTTAGTACCTCTGTCAACTTTCCAGGGGGTTCCTGTTTCCTGGGCATGCCCAATAATAGTCTTGTCCAACTATTTCATGTATGTTATTTTTGAGACTGAGTTTTCTGAAACCCATTGATGGCGCTTCCTCCTAGCATCTCCCTTGAACCAGGTATATGTGGTCCTCTAAATCACTGCTATTGGATGGAGGGCCATCTTGGTAAGGCCCCCATACTGGGTCAGCTGTCCCTTTCACATACCTTCCAAAACTGCTTTGTGCTCACTCTGAGTTTGCGATTGTTACTCTGCATTCTTTTTTGCCACACCCATGCCTTGGCATCTCATATATCTGGCTTCTTTTTAGCCTGTGAATGTCTTCTCTGAGAGGCCCCCTCTGACCACCTAGCCAAAGTTGTATACCAGACTTCTTTCTAATACCTTGACTTTTATTTTTTCTTAATATGTGTCACTATCTCAAAATCATCTTACCTATCTTTCCTCACTAGACTATAAGCCTTGTAAGGACAGGCACCTTGTTAGACTTGTTACTATTGATATATTCTGAGAAGCTGGTACATGGCAAGATTCAAATACTTTTTAAATGAGGGAATGAAATGTCTCCTGCATTTGATTGTGAGCTTTGGGCACATGGGGAGCATATTTTATCATGGTGAAGTCTTTGTTCCCACCACAGAAAGTAGTGAGTAAGTGAAGGTTGAAAGAATGAATGTTAGCTTGCTAAGAATGGGTAAGCACAGGCACATTTTTATTGAATGGGCTCTAATTATTATTTTTTTTAATTTATTTTTTTAAAGATTTTTGTCAAAGGGCATGTGCACTCACTGGAGAGAGACAAACAGTGACAGTGAGAAAGTGAGCGTTCATTTGCTTAGCTGGATTCTCCATCCTTATTCCTCATTCTTTCTTGTCTCTTTCCTCTTTGTTCAAGAGTTGTCAGCCTTTCCAGGTTTATGTAAGATAACCCACTCTGGGCCCAGCCATATTGGCACACACTGCCAAGACACCATGCTCCATAGCATCTGGGACTACATGGAAGGCTCAAGTTAGGTTCTCAGTCCAACCTAAAAGGTGGGCATGGTTGTATGTGTCCAATCCCAGCAACTCAGGAAGGCAGAGTCAGGAGGATCTTAAGCTCCAAAATGGAATGGGCCACATTGAGACTTAATTTGTGGGAACTGGGTATGGTAGTGTGTGTAGTGGTCCCAGCTGCTCAGGAAGTTGAGGCAGGAGGATCACAACACAGAAAGCACTGTCTTAAAACACCACACACACACACACACACACACACACACACACACACACACACACACAAATAAATAAAATAGAGTTTCTACTCTGACAATTGCTAACTTAGTTCCTAACACTGAAAATTTGTTCAGCATCTTGGACCCTTCAGTCTCAACAGTTTCCTTATTAAAATATTGGTTACCCTCCCTCCCCCCAAATTACTGGATAGAAATGAAAATGTCTAAGATGAGCCTATTTATGTCAGGGATGCATTTTTACAATAAATTTTGACTAGACTAAAAAACAAAAAGCAGCCTATTTTCAGTTAGTATTTCTAAAACCATTGGCTCCTCATGATATATATTCCATAGGCAGCTAAGAAAAGAGAGATGACACTGGTGAACTTTTTAAACCATCTACTTACAGTTAGAGGCAGAACCAGCTCTGTTCCTGATTGTATTGGTTTATTCTGACATTTTTGGTGTATAGGGTCTACTGTCCACTGCAGGGTGAGATACCAACCCCCAGGTTTTGCCTTTTGGTATCCAAAGGTCTCGCCCTTGCTAGAAGTTTCCTCATTAGTACCTTATTCCACATGCTGAACATTTTCTGACCACCTCTCTCTATTAGAGTTAACCTATATCCTGTCTTTTCCTATTCTAAGTGTCAACTAAACATGAGGCACTGTGGTACAGTATACCCAGAGTAAGGAGAACTGGATTTAAGACTTGGCACCTGTGGTTTTGGGTTTCTGTCCAACTCTCTGAGTTTCATGGGCCAGAAAATCTCTAAGGGCATTTATAGTGCTAGCCGCCTCAGGCTTTATGATTCTGTTTCTCTTATAAGTGTAGCTGGACTAATTTCTTAGTAGTTGACAATGATTTGATGTGCTAAGCCAGAGATGGCAAATATGTGCCTTCAATTTGTCAACCATGGAAGATTCATTAATTTGTCTCAGCATTCTCATAGGAACCCAGACGTGACCTCAGACTTCTCAAACCAATGTAATGTGCTAAGTAACACTACCAGTGGATCACAGCCGAAATGTGTTTGTCCTTCTTGTCTGCCCTATCGTTTAGTGCTATAATCTGAAGGAGGGACTAGCAGTGATCAGGATATACCATAGAAATTAAGAGCATGGGCTCTGGGATTAAGTTGCTTACATTCAAATCCTGTTTCCATTGCTTCCTTTCTAAAAGTCACACAGCTTTCTTAGCTTCTCTAGGCCTCACTTCCTCATTTGTAATATAGAGCATAACAGATCTACCTAATGGGATTGTACAGAGGGTTAAATGAAATAATATATGTAAAAAAGTGCTTTGAACGGCATGGCACATATAACTCAATAAATGTTAACTGTTATATTAATAATTGGCAGGATAAGAATTTGGAATAGCTCATGAAGGAAACATTCTTGGATTGATAGGGCTTTGCAGCATCCTGTCAGTCTCCCAAGTAGTCAAGTATCTGTTCTGCCTATGAGTATGGGTTGATCCATTTCATTAAAACATTTATTTCAGAAAAATTGAGTGCTACCTGTACAGTCAGGAGTTTAGGTTACAGCAGTAAATAAGACAAGTCTCTTTCTGAGTTTATAGTGTGGGGAAAGGGAGGGGACAAGTAAAAATTTAGTTTCAATATATATGTATTTAAAACTTTATTTCTTCTATGGCTGGGGAGAAGCACCCTGAACAGAGTCTTCATCCTGTGATCCACTCTCAGCCCCAGCCAGAATTATGGGCACACTCAAATGTACTTGGTGTGTACAGGCAGACCTCAGGATGCAAACTGGGACTTTCCCATGTGGTTTTTTGTAGAGTGTTGCATTACCTCTGTGCCATTATGGCTGGCCACAATATTCTTTTTCTTTTTTAAAAATTGCTGAAAGGCAGAAAGAGAGGGAAAGTGGGAAAGCACACCCCCCCTGGGGGGTGGGGGGGATGGCCATGTGGCAATCCCTTCTCCTCTATTTTCCTCTCTGGACTTTGGGCATGCCTGCACATATGCCTGGCATGTTTTTCAAGCTGCTGGATCTGGGACTCAAACCATGCAATTGGTCATGTGGGATCCTGCTCCCTTAACCACCATGTCACAAGCTGGCCCACTACACTATTCTTAACAATTGCAGTGATTGGAGTTTACTCAGGTTCTTTAGGGAGCACTATGTGGGCAGTCAAAGTATTCTTGGTGGGAGAGAAATTCCTGAGTTCACAAGATCTGGTTTGCCTCTTCCCACTGTTGGATATACATTGGATTCCTTGGGGGAATTGTTAGTAATTGATGTCGCTGGTAGCAAACCTCAGTAGCATGCCTATTTCTTGGCATTCATTTAGTCACTTAAATGACTGATAGCTCCAAGTTTTTGCCATTGCTCCTTGCACTCTTCCCCTTATCTCAGTCAGAGCTGATGAAATCGGGAATCTGAGAAGTGAAGACAAGTGAAGCAGCCCTAAACTTATAGCCGCAGAGTAGCTAGATCTCTCTGTGTACCATAGGAAAGTTTAAATGTTAAGTTTGTCAAGGACTTAGATGAGTCCATCTTCCTGCCTAACCCAAGATAAAGGAAGTATCTGTGGAAGCCTTGTATGGTAATGGTATGACATCTGGGTAAGAGAACAAAAGAATATCCTTATGTGATGAGAGTAGGTATCTGTGCCATGACCCATCATGTCCCCTCACTGGTGTCTTACAGTAAGCAACTGTTGTGTGACGTGATGATTGTGGCGGAAGATGTCGAAATAGAAGCTCATCGTGTGGTCCTGGCAGCCTGCAGCCCCTACTTCTGTGCAATGTTCACAGGTATGATGAGGAGCCACCAACAACCCACAGTTATGGGGCTAAGCCCCCTGGGAGGATATCGAGGGTGGTGGTGGCATTATGGGAGGGCAGAAAGAGAAGGCTGTGGAACCCATTATGAGGAGCTTCTCTATGCCAGACACTGTGCTGGACACTGTGGAGAACTTGATGGAGCCAAGATCTCAGCATGGCCAGGTGGGCATGTAGCCCCTCATCTGTCATAAAAAAGGGAGAGTCATACAACACATCAGTTCTGAACCTTCAGCATGCGTCACAATCATATGAGGGAGCTTGTCAATAATATGGACTCTTGGGCTTGTTGACAGGCCTCTCTCATTTGCAGATATGGGACACTGAAGCTGAGAGAAGGGAATAGACATGCCCAAGAACACACAGTGATTGAGCTAATACTCTGCTAGCTGGCCCACATCTTGTCTTCCCCTAGCCTTTCCTTCCAGGCAGGGTCTCTGGGCTAACTCTAACTTTTACAGGAGCACAGAAGGGATTTGGAGATGTGATGGTTGGATTTGGTGAGGATGAGACATAAAAATAACCACCATTTGGCATTCAGTTTCAGTTTTAGTACCTCTGTCAACTTTCCAGGGGGTTCCTGTTTCCTGGGCATGCCCAATAATAGTCTTGTCCAACTATTTCATGTATGTTATTTTTGAGACTGAGTTTTCTGAAACCCATTGATGGCGCTTCCTCCTAGCATCTCCCTTGAACCAGGTATATGTGGTCCTCTAAATCACTGCTATTGGATGGAGGGCCATCTTGGTAAGGCCCCCATACTGGGTCAGCTGTCCCTTTCACATACCTTCCAAAACTGCTTTGTGCTCACTCTGAGTTTGCGATTGTTACTCTGCATTCTTTTTTGCCACACCCATGCCTTGGCATCTCATATATCTGGCTTCTTTTTAGCCTGTGAATGTCTTCTCTGAGAGGCCCCCTCTGACCACCTAGCCAAAGTTGTATACCAGACTTCTTTCTAATACCTTGACTTTTATTTTTTCTTAATATGTGTCACTATCTCAAAATCATCTTACCTATCTTTCCTCACTAGACTATAAGCCTTGTAAGGACAGGCACCTTGTTAGACTTGTTACTATTGATATATTCTGAGAAGCTGGTACATGGCAAGATTCAAATACTTTTTAAATGAGGGAATGAAATGTCTCCTGCATTTGATTGTGAGCTTTGGGCACATGGGGAGCATATTTTATCATGGTGAAGTCTTTGTTCCCACCACAGAAAGTAGTGAGTAAGTGAAGGTTGAAAGAATGAATGTTAGCTTGCTAAGAATGGGTAAGCACAGGCACATTTTTATTGAATGGGCTCTAATTATTATTTTTTTTAATTTATTTTTTTAAAGATTTTTGTCAAAGGGCATGTGCACTCACTGGAGAGAGACAAACAGTGACAGTGAGAAAGTGAGAAATTATACTGCAGGGGAGATGGCCATGCTGTAATCCCTTCTTTTTCATTCTCCGGGGATTTGGGGTACACGTGCATGTGTGCCTGAAGTGATTTTCAAGTTGCTAGGTCCATGGCTAAATCCATGGTCAGCCATGTGGGAGTACAGTGCATTCTAACCACCATGCTGCTGGCCCCAGTACTTTTCCTAATAGAGTACATAGCTGGTTCTTGTTGGGGGAAACTTGCCATTTGTGCTTTCAGAGTTCCTCACATTTGTGTCTCCCTTGGCTCATTATGGTCTCAGCTTGGAGTTGTGCCTCTGCTGATTCTTACTTTACTTTAAAACTTGGGCCAGGAGTTTTACAATGTAGTCTAGAAACTAGAGAAGCTCATTATATGGAAATTCTGAGGAGCACTCCCTTTGGTGTAGTCTCAAAGCCTAGACTTTCCCCCCCTTTTTAGGCTTTTGCCAAAGGGTGCATGCACTCGGTGGAGAGAGAGGAAGAGAGAGAGAGAGAGAAAGAGAGAAAGAAAGTGAGAAATCACCTCCCAGGGGATGGCCACGCTGCAGTCCTTTCTCTACTCTCCTCAGGACTTTTTGCACACACACACACGTGCCTAGTATGGTTTTCAAGCCACCAGGTGTGGGATTCGAACTATTGACGGCCATGTGGGTGTCTAGTGCCTTAACCACCATGCCACCTAGTGGCCCTAGCTTAAAGATTTTTATATTCTTTTTTCCACTTTCCTTTATCTTTCTTTCATTCATTCTTTTTTTTTTTTTTTGCCTCAGGGTGTGTGCACTCGTGAGAGAGACAGAGAGACAGAGAGATAGACACAGTGAGAGAGAAAGTGAGAAATCACCCCCTCAGGTGGGATGGCCACAGAGCAATCCTTTTTCCTCCACTCTCCTCCTGGGATCTTGGGCACACAAACACATGTGCCCAGAATGATTTTGAAGCCACTGGGTCCAGGACTAGAACTGTGGTCAGCTGTGTGGGAGTCCAGAGACATAACCACTATATTACCTATGGGTCCCATCTATATTTCTTTTAAAATAATTCATTTGTCTGCAGTAGTTTAGTTAGCTGCAACTTCGATAAATAACTCTGCCAGTCATTTTTTTGTGTGTGTAGTTTGGAAATTCTTGTGTTGAAGGAGGAAATGTGTTTGGAATTATGATGAATTGTAGTATTGGCTCCACTTTTTGCTAATAAACTTGCCTGTGAGGTAGTGTGAATGTGTTAGGAAAAAGCGAAGTGATTTTAGAAATCGGGAGAAAAGGTTAGCCTGGGGCAGGTCTTGGATTCTAGTAATTGAAGGAGGGGAGAATCAAGAGAAGAAAGCAGTCTAATGCAATGCCCAACCCAAATATTCCAAAGAATCTGGTTACCATCCATCCTATCATCTTCCCATCTGTCCCCCATCCATTCAAACACCATTCACAAATGTTTATTACTGAAAAAAAAAAAAAATCAGCAAATATAGATAAGTAAAAGTAAAAAATTTCAGGTACTATAACGTCTAGGTAAGAGTATTTTTATGGCCTTTTAGATTTTATGTTTATATTTTAAAATTTAAACTATTTATTAATATTAAAATTATTAATATTAAAATATTTTAAATGTATATTTTTAACATAAATTAATTGTTTTTTTTTTAATATATAGTTGAATAGCCTTTTTTGATATGTGTGCCTAAAAAAATTCTACCCATCTTCCTGGAATATTCTGCTCTGTCTCTCTTCCTGCTTAACTTCTATTTATACTGCATTTCTGCTTACATATCCCTTCTTCAGGAAGGCCTTCTATAACCCCTCTGGATTAGGTTAAATCTGTTTACTCTCTACTCTCATATACTTTGTACTTCTCTTTAGGCTTGCCGTTCATTTCATTACTTCTTCAATATCGATTTCCCTGGTTAATCATAAGCTTTATGAGGGTAAGAGCTTTACCTTTTTAATTCACTGCTATGTCCCTACTGACTAACATGATCTTTCATGTAAAAGGTGCTCAATAAAAATTTGTTTAATTGAACTTAGCAATATATCATAAATATCTTTCCTTGTCAATGAAATCACATCTACAGCCAAAATTATTTCATAGATATCCTAATCAAAAATCCATTTTGAGGCCCATTAATTGGTAAACAGGTGCAAAAAAACACCCTTAGAAATATTGCAAAATTTTGTTCTAATGGTCAGATCTGTCTTCAGAATGTATTAACACTCATCATGAAAGTTTTTTTTTTTTTTTGCCTCAGGGTGTGTGCACTCGTGAGAGAGACAGAGAGACAGAGAGATAGACACAGTGAGAGAGAAAGTGAGAAATCACCCCCTCAGGTGGGATGGCCACAGAGCAATCCTTTTTCCTCCACTCTCCTCCTGGGATCTTGGGCACACAAACACATGTGCCCAGAATGATTTTGAAGCCACTGGGTCCAGGACTAGAACTGTGGTCAGCTGTGTGGGAGTCCAGAGACATAACCACTATATTACCTATGGGTCCCATCTATATTTCTTTTAAAATAATTCATTTGTCTGCAGTAGTTTAGTTAGCTGCAACTTCGATAAATAACTCTGCCAGTCATTTTTTTGTGTGTGTAGTTTGGAAATTCTTGTGTTGAAGGAGGAAATGTGTTTGGAATTATGATGAATTGTAGTATTGGCTCCACTTTTTGCTAATAAACTTGCCTGTGAGGTAGTGTGAATGTGTTAGGAAAAAGCGAAGTGATTTTAGAAATCGGGAGAAAAGGTTAGCCTGGGGCAGGTCTTGGATTCTAGTAATTGAAGGAGGGGAGAATCAAGAGAAGAAAGCAGTCTAATGCAATGCCCAACCCAAATATTCCAAAGAATCTGGTTACCATCCATCCTATCATCTTCCCATCTGTCCCCCATCCATTCAAACACCATTCACAAATGTTTATTACTGAAAAAAAAAAAAAATCAGCAAATATAGATAAGTAAAAGTAAAAAATTTCAGGTACTATAACGTCTAGGTAAGAGTATTTTTATGTCCTTTTAGATTTTATGTTTATATTTTAAAATTTAAACTATTTATTAATATTAAAATTATTAATATTAAAATATTTTAAATGTATATTTTTAACATAAATTAATTGTTTTTTTTTTAATATATAGTTGAATAGCCTTTTTTGATATGTGTGCCTAAAAAAAATATACCCATCTTCCTGGAATATTCTGCTCTGTCTCTCTTCCTGCTTAACTTCTATTTATACTGCATTTCTGCTTACATATCCCTTCTTCAGGAAGGCCTTCTATAACCCCTCTGGATTAGGTTAAATCTGTTTACTCTCTACTCTCATATACTTTGTACTTCTCTTTAGGCTTGCCGTTCATTTCATTACTTCTTCAATATCGATTTCCCTGGTTAATCATAAGCTTTATGAGGGTAAGAGCTTTACCTTTTTAATTCACTGCTATGTCCCTACTGACTAACATGATCTTTCATGTAAAAGGTGCTCAATAAAAATTTGTTTAATTGAACTTAGCAATATATCATAAATATCTTTCCTTGTCAATGAAATCACATCTACAGCCAAAATTATTTCATAGATATCCTAATCAA